TTCTAAATGCCATGTATATGCTAATGACACTTGGGTGTATGTCTCTAGCCACAAAGGGAAACCTCTATAACCACCTGCTACTTGACAGCTCGACTTAGATCTCTAAAATGCACCTCAAACATAACACATTCGAAAGGGAGCCATTGAGTTTCTGGAATGCCTCTATCTCCCCCAAAGATAACCTCATTTGTTTGCCAGTCTTTCCACCTCAGGAAATGCCTCTGCCTCCAAAACTTTGGACCAGTCTGCCCATGGCAGTCTACACCTTGACCGCTGTCTTCTTCCTGGCCTGGAGTACGTAAGTAGACCCCCGTTTGCTCTCTCTGTTTCGATGGTTGCTTCCCTTCAGGCCCCTGTCTGCACAATAAGGAGAAGTTGTAAACATAAGTATTACTAGTATCATGTGAGTTGCTCATTTAAAATGCTTCTTCCCTGTGAAGAAAACTCAAACACCACCTTCCCCACGTTTCCAGGGTGACTTTCATCTGCCTGCGTCTCAGACCTTACTGCCCTTACTGTCTTCAGCCACTCACTAGCTCACTTTCTATTCCTCCAACAAGCTATTTATGTTTCCTCCTCAGGGACTTCACACTGTTTGTTTCTCTTGCTAGAATACTCTTCTTTCTGATCTTTCTGCGGTTGGCTCCTTCTTGTCTCTTAGATCTTAGCTTAAATAGTACCTTGCAGCGTATCTGTATCGTCTTTCGTCTGGAGGATGCAGGCACCTCCCTGCTGGCTTCTGCCTCTGTCTCCCACTCCCATCCTCTCTCCACGCCTCGCAGATTTCAGCCTGGTTGACTCAGCCTAACTCCGTCCAGCCCCTGCCGAGCCCTCCAGCCTCATCCTCGCTGGATTCCTTGCCTTACACAAGGCAAGGAATGCCTTGCCTTTGCTGAGTGGTGGACTGCCTCTGAGTCTTTTCACGTCCTATTCCTCCTGCCCATACTCTCTGCCACCCTTCCTTCTGCATAGCCTCTACTCCTCTCAGACACAATTTAGGAAAGCACATCTGAGTCTCTCCTGACTTCAACTTCCTGTATTGGGTGTAGGAAAGCATGTGGGGCTCTTTTCTTGTGTTGTTGCCTGTTTCCTGGTCTCTCTTCTGATAGCTCTCTTGAAAGTAGGGATTTGGAGGTATGGCCTTATCTTTATCCCCGGGGCCTGGCACAGACCTTTGCACTATCATAAACATTACAGGAAGCTTCCTCTACAGGATTTCTGGAAGAGGGCAGTGGGATGGCTTTCTGCTGGGTGGATCAGCCAGTGTTGTACCCATCTCCAGAGTTCATGAGCTCTAAGTGAGGGCTGACCCCTGGGGATAGAATGAACGACATTATCCTGCCAGTAGGTGCATCGTGGAGAATCGAGTCTGGCGCTCTTGGTACAGTTCAGCTATGAGGTTTGCATCTTGAAGCAATTCAGCGCTCAGTGTTTGACATGGGGGCCCAGGAAAGGACAGAACATCAGCAGACATTGGAAATGAGCTGAAAGGACAGGAGAGGCTCAGGTCCCCCAGGAAGTATCACTGTGTCCAGCCCTGGTGGGGCTGCCCCCTTCTCTGGGTATTTCCTCTCACAGGCAGTGGAGTGTAACTGGCCATGTTGCTGTTTAGTGACCCTGCCCCCCTGGCTGCACCTGACTGAGCCAGGAGTAGGCATCCAACTCCACCAGGGCCTGTGGGACTCTCCATCTTCCAGAATTTAATAATTACAATAGAAAAACACAGAGTCTGGAAGGTGGTGGTACTGACTCAAGCTAATGGCTAAAAAAGCTACAAACTCCTGCTGTTGGGATATGTCCATTTCCTTTCCCTTCCTGAGTCAGACCCTCTTGATTCTATGACACAGGTCCAGTAGCCCCGCAAAGAGAGGGAGGTAGTGCATTTGGGATGAAAGAAACTCAAATGCTTTCTGGGGAGTGGACCAGTCTTCCAGGAGTGAAGGATGTAGTGAGAAGAGAGCCAGGGGTAGATTTCAACTTACCATGTTGAGCTGAACAAGCGCCTTTTCCCTATAGCAAAATTGAGGACTTCCAGAAAACCAGGGCTAAAAGTATTTTACTCATGAGGACACTGTGACCCAGAACGGGGTCCTGACTTGCTGAGGCTCCTGCCATCAGTTAATGGTCAGGTCGGCTCTTAGCTCAGTGTTCTTCTCACCATCTCAGTTGTCCTCAGTCTGTTGAGCTGGGCTCAGCTCATCGGTCAGCAGGGATTCATTGTATTCCCCTTCAGCGTCCCACTTGGTGGCTGCAGCTGATTACCTCTGGAGTCCAGGAGCCCAGGGTTAACCACCCCTCCCAACTGCTATGTGGTTACCAGGGGGGTGTGTTTATCTAGGGCATCTGCCAGCCAAAGGACCCAAGTGACCATCCCTTAAGATTGTGGGGCTGTGAACTATAATGTGATGATCACATGGCAGGGCACTGGCACCGAGGAGCATCCATCATAATAACATGATGTGATGTGAGCAGCGTGGAGGCGGTGCTCGCAAGCTGCCCCACCCACCCACGCCCTGCTAGCCCTGCAGCCTTCCAGCAGGGCTGCATTCCTGGCCTCCAACATCACGCTCGTTACATTGCTTCCAAATTTGGTTGGATGCCATAAATGAGCTCCTCTTTCCAACCAAATCAGTCTTTCCAAGGCAAGAGGATGTCTGTTGTCTCTGCAGGAAGCAGATTCCCAGGGAGACCTGTAGGCAGGCAGTGCTCCTGTCTGACTTCCCCAGTTGGTGTGAAGTCATTGTCCTGGGGGGGGGGGGGGGATCTGAGTTTTGCTTGAATCAGAATCCCTGGTATGACTGTGAGAACGCGGATAATTGGGCCTCTTGCGGACCTACGGAATCCTCACCTCTGTGTTATTAACACGTCCCTCAGATGAGGAAGCTCGCTGGTCTCAAGAGTTCACTGGATGGGGCGCAGTCGGTTAAGCGTCCGACTTCAGCCAGGTCACGATCTCGCGGTCCGCGAGTTGGAGCCCCGCGTCGGGCTCTGGGCTGATGGCTCAGAGCCTGGAGCCTGTTTCCGATTCTGTGTCTCCCTCTCTCTCTGCCCCTCCCCCGTTCATGCTCTGTCTCTCTCTGTCCCAAAAATAAATAAACGTTGAAAAAAAAATTAAAAAAAAAAAAAAGAGTTCACTGGAGTTGGAAAAAGCGAGGAATTTAGGTTGGGGAGATAGCGGTTTCCTGACCCTGCTGTAGACTTCCTAGCTGGGTAATTTGCATGTGTCTCTCACCTTCTCTGAGTATCCTTGTAAAGGAAGGAATATGTCTTATCTATATTGATCTCTAGCCCGTGCTGAGGACACAGGTGGCCCTCAACTAATGTTGAATGAATGCCTGCATGACTGAAGACCTCAGCCCACTCTGCACCTAGTGACTGAGTTGATTCGGGAGAGACACCTGTGCGGCATCCTACATATGGTAGGTGCTCATCAACACCTCAGTACAGTGGCTTGTCCTCGGCAGGTAACCTGAGTAGAGAAACAGAAGTGCGGAGGAGATGACAGGTGTTCAGAGACCTCTCTGAGACCCAGCGGTGGTAGGTGCTTCCAGAAAACTCCAGACATTCCTTCTTCCTCTGCTTCCTATGGCCTTCCGTCCACTGTCCTGGGAGTCACCAAATCAGTGAAGGTCAGCCAAGGCCGGTCACAGAGGAGAGGGCTAGAGCTGCCAGTATGCCATCTTAGGGCAGAGGAGGCCACCAGGTGGCTTCCAGGTCTGTGTCTAGAGGTGGAGGGGCATCTTGACTGTGGTCAGCAGCTAAGGGTAGGTGACATGTGGAGGAATGACGACGTCAGTGGTTTGAGGTTTTGGGTATGAATAAATAAATCCTGGTCTTACAGGTGGTACCACTGGGACAAAAATAAGTAATTTCTTCCAGATGCAATGATTTTATCCATGAAAAGGTCATAATGTACATCCTTCCCTAAATATTCCCAGGATTTTTGTGAGAATTAAATGAGGCAACAGGGATGTAATGATTGTCTCCATATAGATCATATCGTGATGCTTTCTCCTCAAAGTGTGGTTCCCAGACCAGCGGCATTGGTGGGACTCAGGAGCTTATTAGAAATGCACAATCTTAGGCGCCACCCCAGACTTACTGAATCAGGACCTCATTTTAACATGATCCCTAGGTGGTTTGAAATACACATGAAAGCTTAAGAAGCAAAGAGTAAACGATTTTAAGGAAGTTTTGGTTCTCCAAACACCTTCTTTTTTTTCCTAGGCAACCCTCTGAAGAAGGGAATGTGCTTATTTATCTCTGTTTAATACCTAGAAAGTAATTGACCCTTAACTGGAGTAGAAGGAAGGAAGGAAGGAAGGAAGGGGGGGAGGAAGGAAGTGAGGGGGGAGGAAGGGAGGGAGGAAGGAAGGAAGGGAGGGAGGAAGGAAGAAAGGAAGGGAGGGAGGGGGGAAGGAAAGGAGAGGGGGAGGAAGGGAGGGAGGTGGGAAGGAAGATCTTAGTCTCACTCACTACTTGGAGCCCTTTACCCAATATTTCTCCTGCTGTAATAACAGGACATGTATGTGGTGATTGCAGCTGCTTCACAACCACTGATGCCAACCACAGATGCAGGCATTTAGTATGTGATTAAGGACAGAGGAATCCACTTAATGTGGGTTATGGGAGATATTTGGCAGGAACCAAGGGACAGGGGTTGGATTTTAGTTTCCAAAGATAATGTCTTTCCCAATTATTTAAAGCCCTCAGTAACTTGGATCACACCCAGACAGAAATAAGCCTCCTTAAGTCAGAACTGTGTGAACAGCTCTTCTGCTCACGTTTTCGGCAGAATCTTGACTCTAATGGTCTGTTCAGGTGCTTATGTAACATGATGTGGTGGGGTTGTCCAGCTGGATCTTTGTCAAGTTGAGACCAACTAACTTACCCTCTATAAAGGAGAAATGCTTTTTGTTTACTAGATTTTACCACCAGTGAAATTAATTAAAGGATTAATCTATCCTATCGTTCAACAAATGTGCTTGGCATGGGGTTACCATAGTGAGAGTGCAAGCAATCCCTGCTTCTATCAAGTAATTGCTGGGTAGTGAGGTTGGAATATGAATTGAGCAATTACAGTGAGGGTTCAGGAAGTACGGGCTGATATGGGCGAGCATGGCAGGCAAACTTAGCCTCATAAGGGTAGAGGTGATGGAGAGAAGTGACCTGTAGGCTGATACCCAATGAGTAGGAGCTAAGCAGTTGGGATAGGAAGGAGAAAATGAAGCTGATACAAAGAACAGCCTGGATCGAGGTCTAGAAGCAAGAAAGAGCATGCTGTGGCAGAGGAAGAGAAGCAGTAAGTGTTTGGATAGCTAGAGTGACTGTATGGGCTGCTTGTGGGTATATACATGGCTGGGGGGGGAGTGTGATGAGAGAAGGGGCTACAGAGGTAAGCAAGGGTGGGACCTCCTGGGGTGTTTTGAATCCTCCTAGGAGATTTGCATTTTATCCCCAGGTCACTAGAGGAAGCCTTTGAAAGTGTTGGTGGGTCTGATACATTTCCAGTTTTCTGCTCGAATGGACCAGTGGACCCCCCCTTGTCACTAGGGCACTGGGAAAAGATTTGTCTCTGTTCTGTGTGTCTCACCCTGACCTCAGCAGCGGGGTGGCTGCTTCTTGCTTTGCATCCCTTAAGCCTAACCAAGGGTTGGTTTGTGTACTTCTCCCAAGAATCGTATTCCTCCACCCAGCCTTCATTGGTGAAAATCTCCTGGTCGCTTTGCTTCCAGTCTGTCTCGTGCAAAGGTCTACTTATGATAGTCTATTTGTCTGGGTCCCCCTGCCTAAAGGAGCAAGTTTAGCTCTGGCAGCTTTGAGCCTGAGCTGAGAAGAGCTGCCCTGCTGGGCCTCACCAGTGGCAGCCCTGTGGCCACCATCCCAGCAGCTGCGGGTCAGGCCATTACTGTGCAATTGGTCTATACCCATTAGTATATCGGCTGAATGTAAGACCCTCATTGCCAAGGGCCTTACTATGAGCTGTCACTTTCGGAAGGTTTTTGAGAGGCAGGGTGGCCAGAACATGGGATTGAGGGTCAGAAGAACTGGCATGCATCGCGGTCCCTTCCTGCCCTCCGTCACTCATTCCGTGACCTCGGGTGAGTCACCTGAATCTTCATCGCCTCAGCTGTAAACGAGGACAAGCAAGATCAAAGAAGATCGTGTGTGGGAAAGTGCTTTGTAAAGTTCTATGAAAGGGTGAGTTTTCATTGGCACTCTGGGCATTGCTGGCTTCATCCCTGGCTACACCACCCCTTTCTGGCACCGCTGAAGGCAGATAGGGCTCAGGAGCTGTGCATTTGCTCACCTTCCACAACTAATCGCTGCCTTCCTGTCTGAGGCTTGCAAATTAGGTTTCGTTTTCTCACGACTCCTGCCCTCCGTCGCTAATGGATAACCCAATTAGAAACCATTCGTCCAAATGTAAATATTATTTCAGCTCAAACTTGTTGAGAACAAACAATTTTCGGTGACACGATCCACTTTGAAACACTTTCTGGTGGACCTGTGGTATACACACCCAATTTGCTTCCCTTGTATGTAATTATCTCCTCAAGCTTCTGCTGGCATTTTCTGAAATGTTAATGGCATGACATTAAATTCTAGCTCATTTCAGAGCTCCTGTTTTCCTCTAAAATTTTTTTCTCAGGGAATCTTAAAAAAAAAAAAAAATAGGTCGACCGATAGGTAGGTGAAATAGAAGAGCATTGATTGTCCCTCTTCAAATAATTGCCCTCCAAAATGCAAAATACTGACACGACAGCACAAAGGGGAGATTAAGGTTCAAAGCATTCGGATGAACATGAAATTTAGAGATTTTTAATCTTTGAATCTTATCCTTGGATGGGATCCTCACCATCTCCTGGTCTCATCCATCATACACGGTGGGGGTTCCTGTCCTGGAAACAACGATAGTAGAATGTCCAGGCATTTATATCCAGGTCAACCTAAAGAGAGCATAAGGGATTCTTCAGAAAAGGTGGGGCCCCTACAGGTTATGTTCTCCCTAAAACCTCCCTGGAGTGTCCCTCCCTATCAGGTGGAGACGGTGATTCTCTCTCCTTGCTTCCAAGTGGTCCACATTCCTTTCCCCATCATTTTCCATTTACTGTCCTTCCTTAGTTATCTGTCTCCCCCCGGTAGACCACAGTCTCCCGGAAGTGAGGGACTGGGATTCATTTGCCTCAGCAGCGTGACTGTATTGGCCTTCTAACTTGTTTTTCTGACTTGACCTCATCTCTACACCATCCTCCCCATGGAAGCCAAGGAAGCCTTTAAGATGTAAATCAGATCAGTCCTTCCCCTACTTAAAACCCTTCCCTGAGTACTCTCGTTCTCTGGAGAAGTCCAAACTCCTTCACGAGGTGTAGGGGGCCTTTCATTGTCTGGACCTGGCTTAGTTCTCCAACCTCATCTGCACCCGTGCTCTCTCCATAGGGGGAGCTCCACCCACCAGTGAGCCACAGTAACTCCCTGAATACATCCTACCCTCTCACATGATAACAGCAACTGCTATTTACTGAGCATTTGCTATCCGCCAGGTACTTTCTCTTGCTCAATCTGCATTCTTTTTTTTTTCTTTTTAAGTTTATTTATTTATTTTGAGAGAGGACGAGTGGGGAGGAGCAGAGAGAGAGAGAGAGAGAGAGAGAGAGACAGATGGAATCCAAAGCAGGCTCTGGACTGTCAGCTCAGAGATGGATGTGGGGCTCGAACGCACAAACCGGTGAGATGGTGACCTGAGCTGAAATCAAGAGTCGGCCACTTAACAGACTGAGCCACCCTGGCGCCCTGGATTCGTAGCAACCCCATGTGATAGTATTATCCCCTTTTACAGATGAGAAACCTGACCTCTGAAAAGGAAAGGAAATTAGCTCCTGGCCAGACAGTTAAAGGCCAGTAAAGGGTTAGGAGCAGGCCTTTGACTCCAGGGCCAGAGATTTTTGCCCACCATGTTCTGTCGAAGACGTGACTCTCAGGTGGAAAGAACTTACTTCTAGCTGAGACGTGACTGTGCCCAGAGAGATAAGTGACTGCCTAAGAGATCTGCTAAATGTCCCACCCAAAGGAGATTTCAAGGGTGCTGTAGGAAGTCAGAGCAGCACAGCACTTTCAATTGCAAGGGTCCATTGTTACATTCAGAGGATAAAGAGGACTTGCACGGTAGAGAGAGAGAGAGGCTGTTCTGGGCAGGGGCATCACCCGAGGAGGGCTCACAGAGGGGAAGGCCCCAAGTATGTCGGGGGTAAAGCAGAGAAGGGCTCCCTCTGGCCAAAGTATAGAATCTGGGGAAATGTGGAATGGGCCAGGAACGAGGGGACAGGTCAGCTACAGGAGGCTCCCCAAAGCTGGGCTGAGAAGTTAAGGCTGATCTGGTGGGCCATCTGAGAGATACTGATCACCTTCTGGCAAAGAGCTGCTCTGATCCCGTGTTGTTTGGGGGGGAAAACAATATAAAATCCAGGGTGGGTGAACAGGGGGAAGGAGCAAGTCACGAAGGCCCTGTGACAATGCTTTTGCAACAGTTCTGACAAGAGCAGGGGCTCTGTAATTGCAAAGCAAAGGCCTGGTCCCACAGGTATTTAAAGCCACCTGGTCTATAATTTACATTTTCATGACATTGCTGATTTTGCTGCTACTGATGTCTGGGGACCTCTGAGGCACTTTCCGGTCACCCCCTGGGTGGCCAGAGGCCTGTGTGTGGCACTTAAAGAGCCCTCTGTTAGGGTCAAGAGCCCTGGGGTCTCAGGCCAGGCCCTGCCCCACTGGTGGGATAGTCTTAGGCAACTTTTGCAGGTTCCTGGGCTTTTTCCATGTTTGTCCCACCCAATGATGGGCTCGTCTAACGCCTCAATCAAACAAGAGTTTTGGTAACATGGAAACACTCTCCCAGGACGTTTGGAGTGCCTACCATGTGCACAGCACTGTGGGTAACACCGGAATAAGATCCGGCCACTCGTCACCGCTTCTGCCCGAGTTTAAACGGTGTGCATATATAATAAAGGCCTTTTGAAAGCAAGCAGGCGAGAGAGGGGCATCTGATGAGTAACGTGGCCAACAGCGGGGTGAGTCAGTTTACATGAAAGCACCTGACAGAGCCCTGTCTCTGTTGATTTGCAGTTTGGGTCCTTTGCACCAGAACCTTTAACCTGTTCTAAACAAGTCAGAGGCTTCCATAGCTTTTAGCCAGGAAGAAAAGGAATCAGATCCCCCTGTTGGAAGACTTGATCAAAGTGGACCTCGGAGCACAAAGCAAATGCGTAGTAGGACCTAACCGAATACAATCGGAATCAGTCTAAGAAAATCCGTCACTTTTTTTTTTTTTTTTTAACAGGCATTCATTCACTTATTTACTCAACGTTTTATAAGCAGCCACTCACTATGCGGGTTTCCTTGATTGTTGAATTGCACAGACTGTCAGCTCCTTGGGAGGAAATATATCTTGTCCATCCATGGGTCAGCAGGGCTGTCTTGGAGCAGTACCTCCCCGGCACAAGGCCACCCCGCTGAGTGGGTCGGCGCTGGAATCCAGCCTCTCTGCTCTGATTGTTCAGAGCTGCTGGAGCCTGGAGGCCTTCATTCTTAATGAGCACAAAGGTCCTGTCTGGGTGCTAAGCTGCCGCCTGAGGAGCTGTGTGTTCCCAGAGGAAGCCTCTTTTCTAATGATGCAGGGCAGAGGGACAGTTAGTTTTCTTCTTCCCATATGTGTGTTCTTTATGCGATCAGAAGCCATCTCTGCTATGGGTCTGATGTAGCACTATACCCTAGCGCTGTTGTTGGTTTTTTTTAAGACATTTATTGGGGGCCGTGTACTGGGTGTGGTGTTCAGTCCTGCCCCATCGCTCAAAGATAAATAGGGCAAAACGCTGACTTCCAGTCTCGTGAGTCATTTGGTAAGTGTCTGATAAGGACACACGTGCAGTGAGAAGGGGTTCCTTCCTCATGCTGGGTAGTTAGGGATGCCTTTCAGGAGGTACCTCCTGGTTAAGTTTTGAAAGATGAGTAGGGTTGGCCTCGGAGTCGAAGCGTGGGAACATATTCCAGCCCAAGACCGGAGACCTGCCCGGACATGATGAAAGGTAGGGAGTGTGAGATCGTGTGGGTGTGCGAGGAACCCAGGTCTGTAGCCTTTTAGATATAGGTGAGATGCCTTCTTCCCCAGGAGGGCTTCCAGAATCCCTGCAGAAGAAGGGGTTCACTATCTCTTCCTTACTGCCTCTGGACCTGTTATTGGCTTCCATTATTGTATTTGCACACATTTCTAATTCAGGAGTCCCCCGTATCTGGTGGGGGATGCATTCGAAGACCCCCGGTGGATGCCTGAAACCATGGGTAGCCCTAAACCCTACGTATACCATGTTTTTTCCTGTGCAGACACACCTATGATAAAGTTTCATTTATAAATTAGGCACAGTAAGAGATTAACCACAATAACTAATAATAAAATAGAACAAGTATAACGATACACTGTAATAAAAGTTACATGAATGTGGTCTCTCTCTCAAAATCGCTTACTGTGCTCACCCTTCTCCTTGTGATGATGATAAAATTCCATGCATGATGAGATGAAGGGGGGTGGTGAATTTTGCAGGCCCCATGACGTGGCTTCTCTTGACCTTCTTACATTAATTATGTCAGGTGGATCATCTGCTATCTGATAGCAGTTGACTGCAGATCACTGAAACTTCCGGTAAGGTGGGACTACTGTATGCGCATTTCTGTGATAGCCTAGAGGCTTGCTGAGACCAGAGATCTTGTGTCTTCCTCATTTTTGTTTCCTTAGTAAATAGCATAGGACCTGGAATAGCATAGAGGCTTAAAGCATATCTGCTCAAGTGAGTTTACTCATGGAGAACGTGGGGAAGGTACTTCCCTCCTAGACTTGATCTTGGGGGACTAATTAGATCTATTACATGTAAGTGGCCTCTAAAGTCTTTCTTGAATTTCCTTAAAGACATTTTTACTTAATCATGTGAGCATGTATGCACATGTATATATATCTATGTGTGTGTGAGTGTGTGTGTGTGTGTGTTATACATATACAGGAAAAATTCATATCAGTGACTTCTGGGGGTGGGTTGAGAAGTGTATGGGGGTGCTATTTCAGGACCATGAATATGGTTGGCCATGTTGTGCACTGCACAATTCTAGGGGACCATTCATTTAGGTGTGAATCTGTACTTTACAAATTTAAACAAAGAGTAATAGAAGCAGAGAAATCACAACACTATAAGTGATTTTACTTTCTTTTCAGAGTTTTTCTGCATTTTCCCAAAATGTCCAAAAGAGATGGGCACGGTTTTCATATTCAAAAATTGTTAAAACTAGTGAGTTGTGGACAATTTCAAAAATCGAAAGTATAAAGAAGGAAATAAAAATGGCCCACCTTTCTTAACCAGAGAAAACTACAATTAGCATTTTACTTTATAAAGTTTGTCTTATAATCTTTTCTTAATTTTATAAGGGTGTTCTTTGAATCATTTTGGATAATTCCGAAATGTAGAAAGAAGAAAATAAAATTCACTTCTAACTCATTACCCAGAGATGACCCACTATTAACATGTTGTGTTTTTTCTTCCACACTCTTACTATATTAATACAATCATGACTCCCATTTGGTGAGTGTTTAAATTTGAGCCAGGCCATGTGCTAAGTGCTTGCCAGACATTATCTCATTTAATTCTCACATAAGCCTGAGGTGGGAATTGTTAGTATCATCTCACAGAAGATACAAACCAAAGGTTAAGAAACTTGGACCAGTTGCAGTTTGAACCTAATGTTGCTTGATTCCAAAGCAAACATTCTAGATGATTCTCTCTCCTCCTTCAAATTCATGTGTGCAGTTATATACACACATAGACTCACACATGTGTATACACACACACCCCTGCATATACATTAAACACACAGACACACACAAGTTGTGGTTACATTCTGTCTTCCACTTGGATGCCTTTTATTTTTTTATCTAATATCCTGTGGTGAGCATTTTATGATGTTAAATAAAAATGCTTTTAGAAAGTGGCTTGGTAAATTTTGCTTTTTTTTTTTTTTTTTTTTTTTTTTAAGGTAAATTGTAAGCAAATCGACCTTGAAGCTCTATTTTGCAGTAGTCGTACTGGCCTTTGTCATCAGACCTCTAGATCTACACCCCCTGTGCAGTCGTCCTTGTCTCACCTTTTGGGCACTTTTTCAATACTTCCTCCTCCATTTCTACTTCCTCATCACGCTGGGAGGAGGGGAAGCCAGGCGAGCTGAGGTCACTGGGCTCAGAAGCTGTCAGAAGAAGCAGCCACAGTGCCTGCATTTCATGACAGTACCTCATACAAGCATTGCTTCCCAGTGTTCAAGCCTTTCTTGTGCGTGTGTGTTTCACGTGAATAACTCTGCATGGCTGAGAAGGCATTTTTCAAATCAAGACATTTATGGTCAGGTTAAGCAATCGGGATAATAGAGACTCTCCAGTGAGGGTTGCAACAAAAACTAGGGCATAAAGCACCAAACTTTTAGTTGAATGCAAACTGTTCACATCTAAAGTGGAACAGATCACTGCAGGCTTCCTCAGCTCCAATATGCTAATGATGCATTGGGCATTCCCAGGGGGGTGCAGAGTATGCGGTGATTCCGGAACTTACTCCACTGAGAACCTGTTGGAGCCGAGGCAGCCTCCTTGGCTGACTCGTGTTCTGTAATACAGTTGGAAAAATACCATTTTATAGGTTTTCTGTGTGATGTTAATTTGGTAATTTAATTTCATTCAGTGACTAAGTAGTTCCTCGCTATTCAAAGCATCGTCCACGGACCAGTGGCATCAGTAATCTTCCAGATGCTCTTTAGAAATACAAAATCTGCACTCCCTCTCCCCTCCTCCCCCCACCCCAATCATGACAGATTCAGAATCTGCACTGTGATGAGATTCCCAGGTCATATACACAAGCACAATCAAGTTTGAGATAGAGGCACTACTGTTAAGGACATGAAGTTCTTAATGAAATGGAAGTCGCCTTACAGGGTTTCTTTAATGTCATAAAATGTGTTTTACACATGTGTTAATTTCATGGACGTGAGCACAGGAAGTGGAAAATGTATTTGGATCCTGCCGGCCATGGAGCATGGCCTCTGCAGGCATGTTCTGATGCCTGTTCAACAAGGACCCCAAACAACTGTGAGCCCCCAGGTCTCTCCTAAGTCCTTTTTCTTCTCCTTTTTAGGAAAGCATGCAGTCAGTCCCCCAGCATGCCCACATTTGGAACCAGAGCGATATATGCAGCCACATCCCATTAGCTAATAGGGAGGCCCCTGGAGAGGGGTTTCAGCTGGGAACACACAGCTAAAGCCCCTTTAATGGCCCAGTCAGCTGTCAGGGCTGTAAACACATTTCTTCCCATTCAGAGCCATTTGCCCCTCTCTGTGACCTCTCGTGGCTCTCGGACCCTGGCCACGTGGCCCAGATGGCATAATCCGTCAGGGCAAAGCAGGTGACAGTGGGGCTTGCTGTTAGGTAATCAGCGACTATAATTAGCTGGGGTGGAAGCGATAATGGGACCAACTGCAGGGCTGGGGCCAGGGGAGCCCTTGGTGGGTGGAGTCAGGGCAGAGAGAAAGGCTTGCTTCCCTCACTCCCCTGTCTTCCTTCCCCCTCCATATGATGTGCCAGCACAGCGAGTGTGCTTGGGGGAGGCAGGGGCTTCATCCTCAATGAGAAGGTCAGGGCTGAGCGCTGGCAATTTAGTAAGTGAGTGATTTGGCAGCTGATGAATTTTATTTCAAAGAAGCCTTCCAGAAATCTATGTTTCAGTCTGATAATTAGTGGGCTACAAGGACCTTGTGAGGCCAAGGGCAGGGGAGGGTTGTAGAGGATTAGAACATGATTCTTGGGGGGAAGACACGTAGGCATTCTGACCCTGTTTAGCCACCCACCCGCTGGGCAGCTTCAGGCTGGTCAACCAGCCTCTCTGTGTCTTCAACAGTGGAGGTCACATCCCTACTCTCAGGGATCCCTGTTTGGGGCTAAGTAAAAACTCCATCAATATTGCCTAAAACATACCGGACATGTAGCAGACACTTTGAAAATAGAGGTTCCCCCCCCCCGCCCCCGGTCCTTCTCAACAGCTATTATGGTGTACATGACTTCAGTAAAATAGAACTGACCAACTTAGAACTAACTCCTAACAGGCTGAATAAGGTTTCCGTGATAATAAATGAAACGCAGTTACGTTTATCAAAACGCAGTTGGTAAGCGACGTTGGCTCTGCTTGTAACTTCGATCAGAACAGTCCCTGCATTTTGTAAATCAAAATGGAAGAGGTGGGGGAGGACTGCCCACTGATAAACACTGAAGCATTGTTTGTTTGTCTCTGTGTTGCTGGCCCTCGATGGCTGTTTTCTGACACAGCACATATCGTGGACTTCGCCGCAAACCCACACGTTGTTGAAGCTTCTTTACTTTGGGTTAGTTGAAGGTCTAAAGTAAAACGTCTCCATCTGTCATCTATCCTACTTACCCTCCCAGACTTGGTTTCTTCTTTTTCCTCCCTTTATTAAAAACCATATATAATGCCGCTAGAGAGGCAAAAAGAAAATAAAACCACCTGTAATTCCAGAAAAGACCGGTTAATGATTTGGTGTATATTCTTCTAGATCCTTCTAGACACAGATATGATTATTTTTTTTCATCAAAATAGGTTATATGGTCAGTTGGGACATGATTTTTTTTCTCCCGACTTGATATTTTGAATCTTATTCTGTATAGTCCATTAGTCTAGTCAATAGGTATAGTTCTAGAACATATTTTTTCCCCAGATTTTCTGTCTATTGACTCAGTTTACAAAGACTTCTACCCATCTTTTTCCATTATCTTTTTTTTAAATTGAGAGAATTCACATGCTCTAAAATTCACCCTTTTAAGTATACAATTGAGTGTTTTTTAGAGACAGGTTTGGGAAATCATAACAGTTTGTAATTCAAGGACACTTCCACCACCCCCAAAAGAAGTCATTTGCGGCGACTCCCCATTCCCTCCTTTCTCTAGCTCCTGGCTAGTAGTAACCAGTGCTGTTGAGATGGCATGAGTTATTGAACTGATTCCTCACCCCTGGATTTATAAATTGCTTACAACTATGTATGACTTCAAACAATACTGTCATGATCAGTCTGGAAATTTTGGTCCAATTAAATTATATCTGAGCTGTGTTAGAGTTAATACACACACACTATTTTATTTTTTTTAAAATTTTTTTTTTCAACGTTTATTTATTTTTGGGACAGAGAGAGACAGAGCATGAACGGGGGAGGGGCAGAGAGAGAGGGAGACACAGAATCAGAAACAGGCTCCAGGCTCTGAGCCATCAGCCCAGAGCCCGATGCGGGGCTCGAACTCACAGACCGCGAGATCGTGACCTGGCTGAAGCCGGACGCTTAACCGACTGCGCCACCCAGGCGCCCCCACACACACTATTTTAATTTGAAAAGGAGTGTTACATTTTTGGATGATGTGGTTTTGGGAAAATTTAGAATTAAATCTCTAAATCTGCAGTATTTATAAACATTCTTTGGGGATTTCCCGAGTGTGGTCATTGCAAAACTGCTTTTGCAAATACTGTCTGTGGAGTTTGCCAGACGTTGGAAGTTGTGAAATTATATGACTCTGCAGTTTCACAGTGGAGGTTAATTCCTGACTCCCCCTCCTTGAGTGACAAAGTTGTGTTTTGTGTCTCTCTGAGCAGCATTAGGACCTAGGAGAAAGAGGGGTAGGCAGAAGGGTATGGGCTAGGACCAATTCTGTTCTTAGTTTCTAGAAGGGATTAAAAAATTTTTTTTTTACTTTTATTATTTATTTCTGGGAGTCAGAGAGAGACAGAGCACAAGTGGGGGAGGGGAAGAGAGAGAGAAGGAGACACAGAATCTGAAGAAGACTCCAGGCTCTGAGCTGTCAGCACAGAGCCTGACATGGGGCTCGAACTTATGAACCAAGAGATCATGACCTGAGCTGAAATCAAGAGTCTGACGCTTAACCGACTGAGCCACCCAGGAGCCCCCAGCAGCAGAATCTTTATTGTGATTTTTACAAAATGATCTGCTTGGATTCTGGTTGTTTGTCCAAAGCAGAGACTGGGGCGGTGGAGTGAGCAGACCTCAGAGGACAGTGCTCTATTTCTGCTGTCTGTGCTCACGGGGCTCCTGTATTTAGTTCTTGGTCTCATCCATAGCACAGGGATTACTGGAATCTACTGTGTGTGTGTGAGCCTCAGTGAGTCAGGCACTGTATTCTCAGTACGTTTTAAAAATCATCTTGCAAGAGATACCGACCCTTACTCATTTCGCGGATGTGGAAACTGAGGCAGAAAGAAATAAGCCATGCTGAAACTTACACGGATAGGAAGAGGCAGAATTTAGGGAAATTTCATTGTGATCAAGAGCTCTGCCATTAACTAGCTCATTGTGTGGCTTTGGGCCAGTTACTTAACCTCCGTCTGTCTCCATTACCCCAAAATGGGGCAATAGCAGTGCCTGCCTCACAAGGATGTGGTGAGAGTCAGTAATGTTTGCAAAGGGCTTGGGAGAACACCTGGGACGCAGTAGGAGCTCAATAAATGTCAGCCTTCCACCAAACAAAACAAAGCAAAAAACAAAACAAAACAAAACAGTATCATTCTGTCAGGCTTCCAAGCCTTGTGTTCTCTGCTACTCCCGCTGCCTCAAAAGGAGCCAGGGAATTGAATTCATGCTAAGAGACCCCAACAAGGTTCAGGATTGCAAGGCATTCGAAAGCGTGGCCTAGTCAGAAAGCACACTCACTCACATACACACACGTAGCTACTTTTAATAGCTGGTAAGAGCCAGAGAAAATCCAATTACAGATGAATCAATCGATTAAAGAGAAAGCGGGCAGAAGAAAGGAAAGAATGCTGGAGAGACACAGAGCCGAATTACAGCTGGGTAATGGAATTAAGGGTCTGTAGAACGAAGTGGGCAAATAACCAAGGCATAAGGGCGGAGGACTCCCTCACAACGCCCGCATGATTTCATTCTTCCTCGCCCCCTTGACTCCAAAGACCCCTCATTGGTCCAGCGCCCCAGACAAGTGATCGCCAAGGAAAGGGCCAGAATTGGCATTTGGCAAATTATATTTTTGCAAAGAAACAAACCGCGCGTGGCCTCTGGAGCATGAGGATTATGTCCGGGTTAAACAGAAGCTCACCGGGACGGGTGAAAGTTTGGGGCGCGGCGATCACAATCCTGGGAGGGGGAAGGTGAGAGCTGTGTCTTTGCTTGGCAAGAGGTAGCCTTAGCTCTTAAGGCTTTTCTGTTTCCTAAGAAATTCTGCCTTTGCTCTCAAAGAAACATCTCATTGTTGACAGAATTTCCCTTTTGCATACACGCACTGGAAAAAAAAAAATCCCACGTGCATTTTTAACTTTATTTTCTATTTTGGTGGGAGGGGGGTGCGGAGAGGGAGGTGGGGCTGTTAATCCAACAGCAGTCTCTACAGCTGTGCCTATTATTGGTGGGTTCTAGAATAACATCCGTTTCTATGTATTTATGGAAAGGCGTCCTTAACTAGGCCACATAAAGAGCCAGCGCATCTATAAATAAATTAAGGCGGCTGCCCCTCGGCGCAGCTGTCGCCTTTGTGACCGGCCAGGCCTGTCCCATTGCCCGATTACCCAGGGCGGGAGGGGCTGTGCACGTGGGGCGGGGCGCACCTCCTC